TGTTGTAGTGCCAAGAAAATTACTGAACATTTTTCCAGAACTGATGTAACCATTGTGACCCCACCACTTAACAATCTGTTGGTTATTCACCTGGTCAACCATACATGGCAGAGATATATTCTGTCCAGGTACAGCTTCAATGACCAATCCTACCACACAAGTAGGCACATACAGTATGTAAACCATACTCCATAGATGGATATTATACCACATTACACTTTTTGCTGAGCAATCAAATCATGAATGTAAGAAGATGTATTGTCTTTTCTTCTATTTTGTCTGTCTTTTCTTGTACCTTGCAGATGAATATATCCTTTTAAATTTCATCTATGGTTTGCTTATAAACCGGATGGTAAACCTGTTTGAGTAAAATAAAATGAAAATCATGGAAATTCAACTTCCTCATTACCATTGTTATAAATATTTAGATTGGGTGAGATTTTATGGTCACTTGTGCGCATTCAGCCACAATTTTAAAAATAACATTTTGTGAATGTGGGAATTTGAATATTTTCATAACATGAGTTACATTATGTAAAACAGTATTTCTAGCATTACCATTTCTGTATAGGCCTACTGTGTAATTCTCCTTTACTGACTCATATGATAACATTGTTTATTACCATCTGTTTTAGGAATGTAGGTAAGAATGGCCCCGGAAAAAATGGCCCCGGAAAAAATGGCCCCGGAAAAAATGGCCCCAGAAAAAATGGCCCCGGTAAAAATGGCCCCATATGACAGGTAGGTAAAAATGGCCCCATATGACAGGTAGGTAAAAATGGCCCCAATGAAAAATTCGGTAATAGAAATGATATATATATTTTTTTAATCTTCAAATATTTAAATACTGTATAAGCAAGAATTGAATCAATAAATAAAAAATGGCCCTCAATTATAAAATTCAAGAAAAAAAAAATAAATAAATGTTGTAAAATACCTTGTAGCAAAAATTTAATTAATAAATCAACATAAAGAATATGCATATTTGAGAACTAAAATAAATTAGGTTTTAGCTCCTATGAGTAGCTCTTGGAGTAAGTCTAAGTATTTTTTTAAATTATTAATATTATTAGATATTATTACTATATTTTTGGCCAATTAATAATATTATTATTATTATTATTAATGGCTCTAATGGGAGGCTCTAAAACATTGATTCGGCACCAGTTTTGAATGACGAACTTGCAGGGAATGTTATAAACCATTTTCGCGAAATTTGAAATAAAAATTTCCAATAACGTAGCGAATACCAATGATGGGGACTTTCAGAGGCCTGGCATTTCGCGGTACGTATTGCTGTCATGGATAACATCAACAATAAATCTAAATTGCTAACGAGCACAAACATTTTAAAATGGAAAAACAGTACAGTAAAATGTACAATAGTCAGCGAGTTTGTCAAACAAGGTATAAAAAAAAGTCTCGCCTTGGGTAGCATCTTTTTAAAGAAAATCATTAATTTCATTTAAAAAAACACAAGTTACTGATTGATTAAATAATTCTATTTTAAATAAGAAATGATTATGCACAGTAAAGGTAACATAGGACAACATTTAAAACTGAAACTGTTAATTATTTCCAAGGTTTTATCTAAGTGCAAATCCAAGTTTGATTGCTTAATTAAAGAAATGCTTTGGATCAAAGAACTGAAACCTACACTTAACAAACAAATGCTTGGTTCACGTCGAACTTTTATCTAGATATACATCCACTTAACTAAAAGTTCGACGTGAACCACTCAATTATAGCTAGTTAAAGGAATTAAGTCACATAAGTTAAGTGACTTAACTTTACTAGAATAACGGTAAATTAACTTGCTTAACGGCAAAGTCGGCTCGGATTACAAGGACACGATTACGTAACGTAGGCATCTAAGCCAGCTTTGTTGTATTGTACCACCATTATCATCTTCTGGCTGGCAACAACGTACTTCAACAATGCTAACAACAGCATCGAAGTAGCCTCATTAGTCTGGTTTTCAGAAATTAATTGTAATATTTTGGGTAAACACCCAGCAAACGTCCGTTTTACGAAATAGTCGATATTACCAATGACCTTTGCCCTTTGCATCATTGACCAAGTAATAACGTTAAAAAGTCCGATTGCGTACGTTTTCCAAAGTGATAATGTATATTTTTCTTAATAATAAAATCAGATTTGTTGTATTTATTTATTGACAATTCAATCTTTTCTATTTCTGCTATAATAGTCGCTATTAATTCAATTTCAACGAACTACCACCAACGCCAGTCGTTAAAATGAGCGCACATGTTTACGATGACGAAATAAAAAAGTGTGTGGAAGTCAGCAACTTATTTGACACCGCGAAGCCAGATTTTCGCGAAGTGCATGTAAACAACACAATTGAGCGATCTAAAAACTACAAAACAGGACAGAAAGGTCCATAAAGTATACATACGTTTTAATGAAAATTAAAACAATATTTTGTTAAAGGGAAGAATGCTAGCTAGCGATTAAAATAATTGGTTTTTTATCGAAGGTAAATGTAGCTAGGGCCAGGGCCTAGAGAATCTACCACTTAGATTGTGATAGAACACGCTGCTGCACTGGTCGTTGGTTCATACTGGTCGGCTAGGTTAGGTAGTGGAAACTCACACCTTCTCTACAATAGTTTACAATTTTTTGGAACGAATACCACTTGGTACTAGAGGTTCGTAAAATACAGTAGATGTTTTATTAAACAAGCCTTTCGACCGTGTGACGTCGACGGCCTGAAACTGGCTGGCTGTTTATCTGGCTCTAACTTGGCATCGAACGCAATTAGGGGATTATCGTATCATGTTTTAAGACGGGTATATCTAGATAAAGTTTGACGTGAACCAGGCTAAACTGTCAGTCAAAGCCAAACTGTTTATCTAGTTAATCTGCTAAGAAGGGCTAATTATTGCTTAGCTCCATTGTGGTTCCACACAGTAGGCCCTATTGATATGTAAATTAATTACTTACTTCCTGTCACTGCTTGGCATTTTTGTTTTTAGTTTTTTCAATTTACTTGATCTTGAGAATGGTTCCATGATGGACCTGAAACGTCGATCTTTCTTATCATTAAATTTTGTTTTGAGATTATGTTCTTAATTGATTTAATAAATAAAAGCCACAAATAATAATTTGATTTACTAAATTTCATTATGTAAAAATAGTTATGCTTTAACATAGATTAAAAATATGTTATGCCTTACTTATTTTTAATCTATGGTCTTTTTAATTAATTTTCTTTTTTTTATTGGAAATTCCGTAATGCAGAGTAAATTTATCAAAACCCATTAGGTTTACAGTAATATGAAAAAAAAAATTTAGTTTATACAGAAATAGTGTCTAAAATGGTCTCGGTTTCCAATGTTAAAGCAAAAGATCTAATCTAAACACACAAAATTAGGCTTGATGTATTTGTTTGGAAAAGAACGTACTTTTTTGTGAAATTAAGAGGTATATAGGTGAAAATTGTAAATTTAGAAATAAGTTGTATTTTTTCCTTTGAACTGAGATCAATATGTGATTTTTTTAAATTTCTTTAGAAGCATTTGTTTTTTAACAATTACAGCAGATGCAAATAATGTTCTGAGAGATAATCGAAAAACAATGGCCATTGAATAACATTTTTTGATAGTAGAAATAAAAGTTTTAAAAACGTTATTTCACTATAGAGGAATGACATACAGTATACAGTACTTTAACTACCAAAATATGCAACTCATAGATAACCACAAACTTCACTTTTGTTAAATATCAAATGAATTAACTTTACATGTTATAAACAATGCAAATAAACAGTGGTTAAAGCATGTGGATCAATTGTGTGTTTGAATCACAAGTTCATGTATAGGAAAAGGAAGAGGCTTACTTTCTCGCAAACTTAGCAATAAATTGTCTGCTTAGAGTTTATTCAAAGAAGTATTGCTTTTAGTAAACTGAATAATTAGGAATACATTTATTTAAGCAACTAATTTAGTTGCATACTTGGTTTTTACTCATCACTAACTAAATCCAAGTGCCTACAACTGGCTTAGAATTATATATAGTTATGTATGGCAATTATGCTAAGAATTAAAATGGTGTGCGATTGTGAGGGTAGGGTGATTATGGTAGGATTAAGTGGTATTGCTAAATCCCACAAACCTCCCAAAACACACTGTAGAAAATGAAACAATTCAATTTTGATTGACTGACTTGGTATATCAATAATTATGATTGTAGAACTCTCTTTTTCTTAAAAAAAAAAAAATAATAATAATTTGATGTTCATACTAACCCACTGTTTGTGGGGTTTACCAATAGTATACACAGATTGAATTTCTGGAAAATTGTGATTCTGCTTCAGTGAAATCGGCCACAAGTAAATTATTTTAGTATTAATAAATGCATGATTTATGTTGATTTATTGATTATATTGTTGCTGTTTTTTAACATTTAAATGAATATTTTATCATTGAATATTAATTCTTGCAAAAAGTAAAATGTAAATGGCAATTTGTTTGTTAGATTCCTTTTAAAAACTAAATTATTTAAGATAAAAAAATGCATATATTGACTCAAGAAAATCAGTTTTAATACAGAATTTGATTATTGGGGAGATTCCTTTTAAAAACTAAATTAGTTAAGATAAAAAATGCATATAATGACTCAAGAAAATCAGTTTTAATTCAGAATTTGATTATTGGGGCAATTTTTACCTACCTGTCATATGGGGCCATTTTTACCGGGGCCATTTTTTCCGGGGCCATTATTTCCGGGGCCATTTTTTCCGGGGCCATTCTTACAGTACACCCTGTTTTAGATGGAGTGCTGAGTGTGTACATAAATGATTATGTAATAGCTACCTATTGTTTTACTGATGAAAGTTGGACATACGATTTAATCTCATATAAGGGCTTTAACTATTAAAGTAGTTCTTATCGTTTAATTATCCTAGAGGATGAATATTTGGGTTAGCATTAATTTATAAGGTTCTTTAGCTTGGGTTCTCCAAATCATGAGGCATTACCAAGTCGATGTTTGAATGGTAAGGAGTGAGCTGTGGTTTGTCTTGCGTAAGACCTTGTTTTATGCTGAGTTTAGGTATGTTAAATATTTGTTCTACTATGATTTGATTATGTTAAATATTATTTGTATTCTATAGTTACATACATAGTGATTGTAACTAATTATGTAGGTTTATAATTATGATACTTGTTTTACCCATTAATTACTATTTAGTTAAATATTTAACATTATGAAGTAATTCTCTTAAAGAATGACCGAAGCACTTATGCAGACTGTTTTAATTATGTAAACTAGTGGTATTTGAGTAATACAGTATTATCAATTACTATGTCAGCATAGATTTGTAGTATTATATAAAGTACACTTTAGAGAGTATTAAGCAATGTAGTAATTTCTTTTATATATTACACTGAACCTGTTAATTTTATACTTGACCATGCCTTCAGCATTGGTAGACTATCTTGGTGGTGCTAGAACTAAACATAGGTGGCGTCTTATGGTAAACAATGATCCAATATGGCGGCGCCCATAGCCTCGCATATTATTGTATGCTAATACTAAATAGGTATACATTGACTAGAACTTTACTTTATTACTTTATACTATGTTTATTCATGATGATAAATTAATTAAATATTAGAAATAAGCTGGGACAATTGTTTGATTTGTTTTTAGCAATTTGAGGAAACTTATTTACAAGTTTATGAAAGAGTTAGTGTATGAGGCTATCGAGTTAGACCTGAGACTGGGTAAGTCAAGATGACCGATTGTTGAATTTATTTTGATAGTGTATTTATTATACTTTCATAACTACTCCACTTGAATATTACTTTATTTAATATTTAACAATATGGATAGAGATTAATTGTACGTATATTCAATATTTACTTATGTCTATCATTGTCTTTGAAAACTGAAGATTACTTCCCATACATACTGATTAGATGGATTCAGACAATTTGGTCATATTAAGGAGGACTTACTTTATTACTATTCCAATGGATTATTAACAGATTACTTTATGATATTTTATATGATGTATTCATGATAGAAGTTATGAGTTTGACTATGTATTGTGTATTATCGATGATATGTTATGTTGTAAATGATTTAATAGTAAATTATTGATTCATAATTTAAGTAGACCACATTACTTTAATGATTTTAATGATGTGCGATGAAAAGATAGAATGGTAAGTTACTTTCCTTTCATCCACAGGGGTCTTTGTTGTTTCTTTATATTTGTTATGTTAAGCTGAGTATTACTGTATCCAAAGAGCTTCACAAGATTGACTTTACTGTCTAAAATAAAGAACTCCTATCAACTCAAGTCGCATTGTATCGGTGTTATTAATTTTGAAGTGGTGTCCTGACAATACATCCATCCGAGTGATAGAGATAGCAATTCGCGACATGAATTTTATGATATTTGTTTTGATTATAATGTGTTTTACATTATGATAGAGATTACAGTTGCGACACCCTCATTTTAACTTTTGTCATATAAGTTATTGATCAAGAAAAAATGAATTTCCTCACCAATTACACACACTGAGTTGCTTATCTACACAGATCAAATAACTTACAAATGAAAAAGAATAATTTCTTGGGGTTGATTTGTAGACTTTACTGTGAAAGTCCTCTAAAGATTAAGTACCAGCCAATTTAATGATAAGGCCCTATAAAAATATTATAAAAGTGATGAGGGAGACTTTCTTTTTTTTCTTTTTTTTTCTGCTTACAAGCCATATATCATTTTTGCGATGTTGTTTGCTGGTGCATCGATATTCAAAGTAAAACAAGGTAAAACATTATTGAGATAATACAAAAAATATCTACTTACTATTTAATATGAAAAATGAAAAAATTAATTTTGTTTTTAATATCTTTTTTTTTTTTTTTTTCAAAAAGAAAAACGATTGGAACACATATTAAAAAAATATGTCACAAATATTTTTTTTCAGTACCATAGAAGACATGCGCACAAGGGTGATAAATTAATTTTTTTTTTTTTTATAGGGCCTAACCATGTAATGAGCTTGAAACTTTAAAATTATATTAAGCAATATTTTTAATTAATTACTTTGTAGATTTTGAGTAAACCTAAACTTTGAATGAAAGTGAAATTACTTTTTTTTTCTTAAACAATTCTAGTGAAATTGTTGTTTGCCTCCCTCCTTGTCAACCTTTACAAAGGTTTTTTTTTCTAAATTTGTGTACACAAGCCTGTAGAATTTAGAAAATAGCATAGATTAGTGAGCTCAATACTAATGTAATAATTTTGAACTTATAATCTTAAATAGGGGTATCATTAAAATTGTTCATACTACATAGGCATTTGTTTTTATTTGGAAAAGGGCATTACTGTATTTCCATTTTTACTATTCTAGGTTATAGAAAATAATCATGAAAACAAGGTTCGTACGCATCCTTAAATTCCTGGAATTTCCTGGAAAAACGAATGAGCATTTTCCAGTACTGGAAAGTCCTGGAAATTTATGATTGTCCTTGAATAATTCTTCAATGTCCTGGAAATTTGATTATTTACACATTTATCGTATTTCGCATGATATATACGTAAATTCCAGGTCATAATTAAAATAAACTAAAAAATGTTCGTTTGTTTTTGTCTTTTCAATACTCATACACAATTAAAGTACAGACTGTTGCCCGCATACTGTAGCTATTTTTCAAAGTAAGGTGGCATGTCTATAGTATTACTTTACACACGCTCCGGCTCTCGCTCTTTGACGTTACACAAAGGAGACGCGCGGCGGGTACATGTAAGGGCCTAATAATTTTCGGTACTGTGAAATACATGCTAAATTTGGGCATGTATACACTGTCGACTGATTATGTACTGTACAGCATTTTTTTTTTTAGCGCAGACAGGGTTATGGCAGCCGAGGCATTGATTACACGAAAGAGGCAATCTAAGCTAGATGAGTTAGATAATTTAAAGTAATCCATTGCTGGTTTGCTGATCAGGCCGAGAGTAAATGTAGTCTGACCATAGAGAAATGTTGTATTTTCTCTATGGTCTGACCGTATCGCCAAAAGCGAACAGCCTGCGTGTCGAACTGCCGCTGAGAAAAAGTAATTACTGGCAAAAATTGAGGCGAACATTGCTTCAAAATTGAGGCACGTTGTGGCAAATGGCTAAGTTGTAGCAAAAATTGAAATTCAAGTTATTAGTATTTTCAGATACCTGAGTATGTGATCTTTAAAATGAGGGGTCATTCATTGAAATTGGACATTTCAAGCCTAAGTTATTGGAAAGTGAAATTACAGCACTCAAGATAAACATTATTTTGAGTAATTGCCTTCCAAAGTTATTTGTGCATACATTGTTTAATAGAATTAACTATCTAAATAACATTAAATAAACGATTTGTTGATCACTTCCAGAACTAATACTTTGGGACATGATTAGTAAGACATTAAACTGTTGATCTATAGTGGAAAAAAAACATTGTATTTTTAGGCAATTTTTTGAGCTACCATATTTTATAGCTCCTTTACTCAATACTGGTCTGTGCGACAACTTAACCATTTTGCCACGACATGCCTCAATTAGAAGAAATAAAAAATATGTAAATCCAGAAACTACCATACCTATGACATTGTTTCAAATAAAGTGGATTTTTAAAAGGAATATGCTGTCATGTTTGTCTTGCTATTCTGTGTTAAATTTAGTGCTTGCAAATGTTGATAATTCAATTTGATAATTCAATTTTACAATGCACAGTATATATTTGCTCTACGTATAAACAAATGCAATCATCGCAAACACATCGTACGTTAACATTTGCTGATAATAGAATTTAAAAGTTTACATAGGTTTATAATATAATTATAAATAATAACCATGAATACAGAGATGAAATAAATTACTTGGCAATGTACAATTTAACAAGTTTCAACATTTTAATGACCAATATGTATGAAATATAAAATAACAATTAAGATCTCCGCAACGTGTACCCAAAACGAAGGAGATTAGGACACCGGGGGTTATTGCTTAGTAATGTCAACATCACTACAGCATCTTTCATGTAAATTGTTTAATAGCCCTGAACAGGCATACACTCCACCGAGGCGTCACTAGGGAATCAAGCTATTACTGACATGCCGGTACCACAAAGCCACCGACAGGTTAAGCGATAAGAAGACCATGTTGTACGCGCACATTTTTGTTGCCTAGCAGAGAATCAGGTCTGCTGTAGTTCAACTGTGGGCTCTGTCTTACTTGCCACACTCGTGGGATGAATTCCTTTGCTTATTTGCACACGTGTGAGACAAGCAGAATTTCCCACGAGCATAAGAAAAAGACACCGATCTATCGCCTCTGAATTAGATTTAAGTAAAACTTAATATGCAATCAACCAACAGTCTTTACTGTGATGGAAACAACTAAATTGATTTACTAAATAGAAATATGCATAAGAACATCTTGCAATTAAAATTAGTACAGCATGCATGTTGTATAATCAATCGTAAAATTGGCAAATTGTTCTACTTTTATAGTAATAAGAGATTATGAGTCTTTGAAATTCGGAAAATATGACCTGGAATTGTCCTGGAAATTTGCTTGTTTAAAAACGTACGAACCCCTGTGAAAATATCAACTATATTTGTCTGTTGTGTTACCCAAAAATATCATTAGAATTTCCTTCCATAACAAAAGGCTAGTAGGAAACTTGCTTTGCGCAATATCTGAAAATTACATTTTGCTTATAATGCGTTCTTCCAAATTACGTCAGAGTCACTTTGGTACATTGAAATCGGTTTTGCTTATTACATAGGATTACATAGCAACATAGTACTCTAGTGCATTAAAATTTATGTATTCTTACGTTTCCTTTTCTGTTGGGTTGGATTTGATTTGCTTGTCATTACACCTATTGACTGTTGGGTACTGTACTTAATATGAATGTTACACTACTTACTTCCTTGTTAAGTCAATTAACCAATGGAGCTATTATACAAAATCGATGAAAAATTCTTTATCTGCATAAGCTGAAAATTTGTGTATCTTGCAGCTGTACAATAGAAGACAGCTTTTGGAGCTTTCAAATTGCAGTACTGTCGATAGTGAAAATCATGTGCAAAATTGAAATATAGTTGAATTGATTTGATACAATGCCAAGTGGTTGTGTTACTTGCATGGCTACAACTGTACAACCGGTTCTTGAATGCATCACGCAATTCTTCAAAAGCATTTTTTGAGGGAAAAGAAAAAAATGTTATGGTCTTAAGTAGACTTAATTCATGTAGCATATACATATATATATATACATATATATATATATAAGGCTGTCATGCAAATCTTCACAGATGCGCTTGCACATACTCGACATATCAGATGACGCTTGCTCAATTTTTCCTAGCACGCCTTCCATGCAGTGGTGGCGCCATTGGGGAATTTGCCCCCCACCTTTGGATAAGCCTGGAAATTACTGTCGTCTGACGAATGACTAGGTCAAAAAAATAATAAATTGCCTATCCAAAATAATGCAATTTTAATTGCCAATCCCTAATATTGTGGTCTAAAAGCACATTTAGTGTGCAAGCGTTTGGGCAGTAAATCGTAAAAAATATTTTGTTGTTACTCAAATTAGTTTATAATGGTACACGCAGGTACACAATTAATATGCCTATGTGTATTATAACATGAACAATATTTTCTCATTGCAAATTAATTCACTTAAATGATAGGCACAAACAGCTAATGTATGTCTACAAAAATAAAATCTATGTACAGTATTGCATTATTTACAATAATTTCATATCATAAAATAACAGTTTTGAAAACTGAAATTACCATAAAGATTTTAATTGAAACTGTACTCTGTCTTACCCTTGCTGTAGTACAGTATCTAACAATATTTATCTGTAGTTACCCCCAACCAATTAAAATACCCAATTAACAAAATTAATTAATAAGTACTATTAAAACAAACAATATTTTCAGTACAAATGTATTCACTTAAATGATAAGCAGTCTCATAGACAACTATACTATGGCTTCAACTGTAGAGTATTTCATTATATAGCAGGGGTTCCAAGTCTCCCGCCACTCACGGGAGTATCTCAGAAATCAGTGTCGATGGTATCACTACGGCCAGCAAAATTAAATTAAAAGAAAGCTCATTAACCAGGTTAGTGGCAGATTCAAAGGGGTGGGTGGGGAGGCTAAATTGTTCAAAATTATTTTTTTTAATGGTGAAAAAAATAAAATTATATTCAAATTTAAGCAGGGGTGGCGCCAGTGGGGGAGGCCAGGGCCCCCCGTGGGGGAGAGCTGGCCCGCCCGTCGGAGAGAAAAAGCACAATTCGTCGGGGAGAAAAAAAAAATTATATGTATTTTCTACATATTATTGGACTCTAAAATCGAATTGTCAAAATTTTCGGGGGATTCGCCCCCAGGACCACTTTCGAAACCCCCCCCCCCGTCGGGCAAATCCTGGCGCCACCTCTGAATTTAAGTCTGATGGTGCTATTTGCAGCCATCTAGAGGTGCCAAAATAATAAATTTAGGTAGGTAGATTCTCCATCTATAAAAGTTCCTCCATAGGTCCCCCTCTATTTCGAATTCCTGCATCTGCCACTGCAGATCTCCTGGAATTCACTTCTTCAAACTTGAGACCCCTGATATAGTATACAGTTATTTCATATAAAATTAACAGTTTTGAATACTAAAAAGTATCATAAAGATGAAACTGTGTACTGTATTCTGTATTTGACCCATGTACAGAGTATCTCAAATGTTTTGTAGTGACCCCTTCCAAATTAAATATCCAATTCTTTATTGGCAATATTACAAGTGCAATTCATATCAACATTGTTGGTTTTATAACTAGTCATTAAAATAAGGATACATATTTTATTTGGTTTGTTTTTATTCTCCAAACCTGTCTAAAGCATGGTGTTAAGGTTTTTTTTTCTCACATTTTAAAAAAATGAAAAGTAAAAAACTGTGGGTTTTCTGGCTCAATGACTGCTGTTTTTCCACAATCCCTTGGATTTTGCCAGCATTAATTCCCTGTTCCTACATTGAACTCATCATCAAGTGATTGGTAAGCCTCATTCTCTTTTTCTATATACCCGAAATCATCAAATGTTTCATCCTTGTTATGTGTCTGAGACGTAGTATGCCCATCGTTTTTCTTATTCATATTTATACCATCGACAAAATCATCAATTTCTTCATAAGCCTTGTTTGTTTGGTCAACATCAGGCTTGGCAACACTAACTTTATTAACAGTTGGTGTTAGTTCATAAGCGTTGGTGTCTGCTGATTGGTAGATGACATTTTCTTTCATGACACTATCTTCAGAAGATTGCTTAAAATTGATGTCATCACTTTGTGCAGGTCCTTCCAACATACTAAATTTTTTTGTATGTTCCTTTTGGTCATTCTCAATATATTCATTTTTATCTGTCGGTGGTGATTTCATTGCAGAATTTTGTTTATTTTTGAAGCTCCTTCTTATAAAATACAAGATAGTAATAACCAGAAATAAAATTATTATAGCTGCTAATGATATTATGACTATTAATTGTGTAGCATTGTCTTCTTTTGCTGCTGTTGTTATTGTTGAAGATATTACAGTGCCTTTTGAACTTGATTGGACCATGGTGCCTTGTGAATTTTCTACATCAATGTATTTGGTAGGGGAAATTGATTGTGAGGGTACTTCAGTTTTTGGTGGTAATGTTGGGATATGTGTCTCCTTTAAAGTACATTTAAATGTTCTCATAGACCCAGTGATTGTGACATTACACACAGTATCCTGTGGATTGGCCTCGCTTGGGTTGTATGTGTAATTCAATGTACATATGTCAGATGTGCAATTTCTTATGCATGCAACACTGACGTCTTTAACTATCAACCATGTTTCCTGGAACTGTTGAATATTTCGATAGGAGCATGAAGCAACTGATGTGCTACCATTAATATTGATGATTGCACATTCTGGCTGGTAGATTTGCAGTTCATGAATTTTTAAATTCTGGAAATCTTCATCATCATTGTTTAACACTAACCTGCATTCATATGTGTCTGCAAGATATGTCCAGATCATGATGTCATCAGGTATCATAATGAACAGACTGTAGTCATTACCTGCACCAGGTAAAGCATAAAATGGTGTTGTAGCGCCAAGTATATTAGTGAACATTTTTCCAGAACTGATGTAACCATTGTGACCCCACCACTTAATAATCTGTTGGTTATTCACCTGTTTAACCATACATGGCAGAGATATATTCTGTCCAGGTACAGCTTCAGTGACCAATCCTACCACACAAGTAGGCACATACAGTATGTAAACCATACTCCATAGATGGATATTATACCTCATTACACTTTTTGCTGAGCAATCAAATCATGGATAATGTAAAAAGATGTATTGCCTTCTCTTCTACTATGTCTGTCTTTTCTTGCGTCTTCCAGATGAATATATTCTTTATTTTAATCTATGATTCGCTTATAAACTGTATGGTATACCTGTTTGGGTAAGATAAAATAAAACCCATGTAATTAAAATTTACCTTCCGTATTGCCATTGTTACAAATATTTAGATTGGGTCAGATTGTATGGTCACCAGTGTGCATTCAGCCACAATTTGAAAAATAACATTTATGTGTTTTATTTTATGTGTCTGATTTTATATTGTATTTACATGTATGCTCCCTGTTATTGGCATTTGCTCTGTTGGGTGAAATGTTAATATTTGTTTTAATTATAATGTGTTTCAGATCTTGATGATCTAATAGCAAAACATATACCAGTACTAAAATTAAGGGTTTATATGAGTAAATTACAACTACTTTCATCATCATTAGATGTATTTTGTATGTTAAAAGTTATTTGTAAATATATTAAAAGCTTTCTTATAACAGATACATAAATCTATAATTTTTTCTTTTATTAATAAAAAATTAATCACAGTATTAGCTAATTTTCCTCTTATATTTTTTCAACATGGTCAACAAAGATTGCATTTTGGGCACCCTAATGTAAAATTAAGTAAATCTATATTTATTTCTTTTAAAGTGTCAATAAAAAATTAGTAAAAGTATTAGGTCATTTTCCTCATATTTTTTTTAAATAATTAATCATGTCGTGAATTGTAAATCAAGATTAAAGCTCTGAAAATATAAAACTGAAAAATTATAGAAATATTTAACTAAGTAAGCTGTATACCACAGAACAACAAAGCACAGGTTGTAGGTGGGTATATTTAAATTCAGTAATGAAATTTTACAAAAGTGTTAATAAAGAAATAGAAAACAATACATACAATAAAAACAGATATTCATGTTATAACCCAAAAGTAATACACTTTTCTGAAGATGTTTTGACACATTTATCAATGATTTACTTACTCTGTTGGTTTAGATGGCAAAGAGTTATTATTCCACAATTTCATTAATTTAAGGGTGATGAAAGTCGAAAGTCACAGTCTGCCTACATGCTCAAAGATGCACTTTACAAAATGGTTACTTCAGTTGGTTAAAGGGCAACTCAGACAGCGTCGTACGACGCAGCCCGACACGATTTGTTGTCGCGTCGGGTCTGTGTGAGTTAAATGCAGACGCGATTGTGTGCGTCGGGGCAGTCGCATCGTAGAATTCTAAACATGTTTAATATTTCTCACGACGGCTTAAGACTGTCCCCGACGATAAATCGGGTCCGGCTGCATCGGCCGACGCTGTCTGAGTTGGCCTTAAGACACAAACAGTTTTCCAAAGGTCACAGGATCAAATCTTTGAGCTACATACACGTCAAGGCTCACGCATTCGGCGTGAGACTCCCGCATTTGTGGTCTGTCTCACGCTTGAGGACCAAAAGCTCGCGCATAAATGTAATATTGCCTATAATAAAAAATGTACATTGAAGAGTGGATTTGCATGTATGCTCCAAGTGAAATAAAATGTAAAAATTCATTAAAATATAGCAAAATATATGTTTACTTTGTTTCTCTCTTGATAAATATCCATCATTACTGTACTTAAAATAGGATGGTTTTGTTGTTACACATTCGAACACAAATAAATGGTGGTGCACCACACCTTGATTGAGGTGGTTGGCTTTCTGTTTTAAGTAACCTTCTCAATATAAATTTTGGTAAGGGTCGGTAATATTCGAAAATCTCTTTACTAGTTTTTCGATGGGATTAGATAAACTAGCTGCATCAACACTGAGTATGCCATTATTTTACAAAACACTGTCAGTGTCGTCGGATATGATCAAAGAACACATTCTAACCGCCACGTGCTCGGCTCATGTGAGTGAGACAGGTTCGTGGACGGCAGAAACATGTATTCTCAGGAAAAATAATACTAGCCTAAAGATGTATTTCTGAGCATCTAGGGAAGGATTTTTCCGGGGGGTGGGTGGGGGAAGGGTTCCACGACCCATTTGGGGAGGAGTTTTTAAACTTGGCATCTATGGAGCTGTCCATAGTTTTTTACTCCATATAGAACTCTATATTGTTGGTCATGCACTGAGTTTGTGCTATTATCATACTGTACGTATAGTAATTTTTAGAAGATGATTTAGAAGGTAGTTTTCCAATTCTTCCATACTTCTATGTAGCTTACTATTATTTCAAATAGTACTGTATATGATAAATATGCTGCATAGACACTGTTTACAACATTTTAGCATTGCTGAATTTGTCTACTGAAATAAGTATTTTAATATTGGCACATGAACTGAGACAGATTCTAAATGTAGTTAAGCCTACACAAGTTGTAAATGTTATTTACTGTATGAAACTGCACATGATGACCTCATGAAAAATGTGCTTAGCAAAAATAAGTGTAACTTGTAGTTTCATATTCTCTCCAAATTGTGCATGATTATAAACATTTAGGTATATATGGCTTGTACCCTGTGGTTAATTAAACTACTCTATTATTTATTTGTAATTTGTAAAATAAATAACAATAAAGTCAATTTCTCAGAGATATACTTCCTGGTAGTAAATTTTTCCCACTACATACTAAATATGCTACATACACACAGTTTACAACAGCTTGTGGTCGCTGATTTTGTCAATTGAAATACTGTAAAGCATTTTAATAATCACAGCAGCAACTGAGACAGTTTCTAAACTGTAGCAAGTCTACAAAGGTACTGAAAAGGTTATTATGAAACTGCACACAATGACCTCATTGAAAAATGCGCTTAGCAACTAGTATAAACATAACAAAATTGTAACTTGTATTTTCCATATTACTGTGTATGGTTATATTTAGGTACATAGCTTGTAGTCGGTGGTTAATTAAGGGATTTGATTAGGAATCTTGCCCTACAACTACTGTATAATTATTTGTTTGTAATATTTATTATTAAACAGATTAATTGGATATTTGTACATTTTTCTGCCATTACCTGTTAAAAATGATCTAACCTTCGTAACTTATGAAAAACTGTATATTGTAGTCAAAGTATACCTTAAATAAGCTAGATATCGTAGTGCACTTTTTTTTTGCTTTAGCTCCTTTTATTAGAAAGTAGACCTAAACCAAATATTTTTCTAATTCAAATTTATAATGATAGGTCAAACTAAGTGTTATGGATTTAAAATTATTTAATTATTAAAATTTAGAAAGAAATATGAGGCAAAATATTAACCAAAAACAGACTTACTTTATCTGCTGCACTGTTTCCACCATGAAGCTACAGTTTTTCTTTGATACTACTTCCTTGTTGAGCCCAGGGGGTTATAAACCTAAGTGCTATAATCCCTTTTGAAAGTTAGTTGACCAATGATATTGTATTGTTGTTCTGTCAATAATGCATTCCAAACAGTTTGATGTTCGTTTGGTATCAGGTTCCAGATATGTTATTCATGCATAAAAAGTTATTTAAGCTTTGTAGTGGTAATTGGAGATAAAGTGCATGCACATCATCTACGTCTCACATTCTGGGTTCAATTCAATGTGATCGTCAATACTTTTTTGACTTTAAGTAGTAAGAGGAAATTATTACATCATTTCTATTTTTCGAACTTTTATACTGTAGAATACAATGTTGTGTTTTCTAAGAAAGATTTTGAAATTCTCCTCAGAACAAGTACCACCTTAGTAGTAAACAAAAGTTTATATTTCATAAATGTTTTATTGATTCAAAATTTAGGGGACCCCCTAAATTGTTTAAAATTATATAAAAAATGTAGAAAAAAGAGAGTCATATTCAAATTCAAGTTTTGAGTGCCATGTAGCTGATAATTCAAAATTGTATTGTGTTTTGTACTTTTCTCTTGGATATCTGTTGGATTAAAATTAACTATCAATTAATGGAAAAACAAAGTACTTTCCTCACAAATCACAGATACAAATTAACTTGCTTATCTACACAGATTGTTTTATTATTATTTATTTTATTTTATTTGTTCACCATTCAACAGCAACGTAAGTCGCCACTTCAAATAACGTTCAATTTTTTAAGAAGACACAAATAAAACAATAGTTTTTTCTGCTGACTTTATACAAAAATCCTTAAATTTATAGACATAACCAGCGACTAGGAAACAGGATATATTTTCTGGGGGATAAGTTGTCCGACAGGGAAACTTGAGCTCGTAGGCTCGAGCTGGATGAAGGGGTTGAGAGGGGGGTTCCCCCTCCCAAATGAGATTTTAAAGAATATCAACCTCTGGATGACCGAAAATGGTACTCTCGGAATGTGACAGACATGTGTTGGCTTGGTGTGGGCCTATTTTTGTATGTTTCATGGTCTGACTGCCCGATGAGCTCTGTCCGGCGGAGGGGCTTGACCTGTCCAGTGGGTTCTTAATCCCCCTGCCCCCCGCTGGTGCCGCCACTGGCCCGCGCTGTCTGTTTACAATAATATACCCATTATAGGCCATGTGATCTGTATCGCTGATTGTGTCTATTACCTGTCAATCAATTGAGCTTAAAATTTAGAAATTATAATCTGTATTTATTTGAATTATTTACTTTGTAGATGTATTAGCTATTAGTTTTCAATTGAAAATCAGTGAAATTAATTTTTGGACCTACAAATTAATTGATGCTAAAATTAGAGTATTTCTATATTCTTTTTTTAGACGTTGGTCATCTATTTAAGATTTAATGTTAACTTTTTAATGTTATCACTTTTTTTAACTCGGTCTTGCTGTTTTTGATGCACTGTATATTCTTTGCAATTTGTATTTTAAAAGTTAGTTTATTTTTTTATTTGAAAAGCTGTACAACTAAAATTTCTTTGTATGTTTTTATATGAGGATAAATCAGTTTTCTTGTTTCTTGTATCTTAATTCTTAAAAAACTACAGTATTACTATAATGTACTGAAATTATTGTTTGCTGCCTTCTTTGTCAATATTTACAAAAAGGGTTTTACTTAAAGAGGGAACTAGAAGGAAGATTTTTTTTTTTCTAGAGGGGATTTTTGATATGCTATTAGTAATCAGGGGCGGATCCAGAAATGTCAAAAAAAACAAACATTTGAGGCGTTCTGGGCTATCATTTTTTTCTTTTTCTTTCTTTTTTTTTTTTTGCTTTTTTTACCTCCCAAAAGGTGGGGGCCACCCCCTCTAAATCCGTCCCTGGTAATAGAATCAACTTTAAAATCGTTTTTTTGGCAATTTTTTTATGAAGTTATAGGACATTACGATTTCACCCCTTTAGCAACGTGACGTCAGTATTACTGTAACCAAAAATCTTATAACGCTGCCGACTATTACTAAATGACATAAAAAGTCCCCTCTAAAAAAAAAAATCATTTTTCTAAGTCCCTTTTAATAAGGCCTTTATAAAATGTATATTAAATGCATATTGAATTGAATTATTTAATTGACAATTACAATAGCATATAGATGTTTAAATGTTTTTACTACTTTTTTATTAATTATGTCTCTGAAGTTTATGTTGGGTACCTTCATAAGTAGTAAATACAATAAGAGACCATTGAGGAGAGTTGAGGTGACTAATAGGTGACTAAGATTAAAAGTTGTTATCAGCTATTAATTTGAAAAAAGGCAATTAATTGGATGTGGCAATACAGATGTACTCTGTAAATGTACATCGGATGATGGTAAACATTTTCATTATGTTTTTAAAGGGAAATTGATTAGGATTTTATAAATCAGTTATAAAAATATTGTAACTGTGGCTAGCCAAAGTACTCAGCTGTAACAAATGCTTGGTAGTTTCTTGTTACCATGAAATAGCGACATAGTACTCTTAATGCAATGAAGTTTATGTATACTTACGTTTCTTTTTCTGTTGGGTTGGAATTGATTTGCTTGTCGTAAACCTCTTGACTTTGTGATACTGTACTTTATGTGAATATTACACTACGTACAGTACTTCCTTTGTCAACTCAACCAAGGGAAGTATTATAAAATCAATTAAAAAATGAGAATGTATTTTTTTTTTGTACAGGTAATAGATGTCAGCTTAAAAAAAGTTTCAAATTAAAATATAGTTGAATTGATTGACACAATGCAAATTAACTTTATAGAGTACTTGCGCTTGCACACCCGACGCAACATCTGTCAGTGTTCCTGAATAAAAATCCCTGTTGAAGTTCACAGTGAGAGTTTATACTGTAGGCCTACGGCTTAGTATAACCCCGATTGTGCTTTTAGACCACAATATTAGGGATTATTAGCAATTAAAATAACATTATTTATATAGGCAATTGTATTTTTGTTTGCAATAATCATCATCACCGTGCAACAGGCTCGTAAAACAAGGTTGAAGAGGAGTCTTACCTAAAGAGAAATGTATTCATATTAACATAATATACATAATAAAAAAATAATAATAATAATAGTAAATCAGTATTTATATAGCACCTTACATTGAAGTTTCTTTTAAAGTGCATATTTTACAGTGCCTCAGTCCCTTAGCATTTTATTTGCACCTTCATTGTCTTCCATTGATGTACGGTATTATGATCTATTCAAGATGATAACCACAGTAGTTTATGAAACAATATTAAATAAAATTCAGAATACAGTGCTTTTAAAAAACTGTATTTATTCATTTTATAAGCAATTTGAGACATCAAACATTTTACACACCAGTATTACTATTTAATACCACATTTACGTAGCACACTTTTCATGATAAATTATGTTTTAATTACATGAGATAAAATGTTACATGTGATGTGCTAGATAATACTATAGGCTGTTGAATTCACCGTCATTTTCACATGATTAAATTGTAACCTTGTTAAAAGACTGTGTTATTAGTTGACAGGCAGTAACATTGTGCAAAATCATATAGTGCAAGGTAAGATGCTCACTACAGTATGAGCATACACACCGATTTATGTGGTGCACACACACACAACATAGCAGGCAATGTATTTGTACTTAAACTTGTTTCCAATGAAGTAATATTTTTAAAATCATACTAACATTTTTAATCAAAACAATAAATTAAATTTTAAGGAAGTTGAATGCCAGTACATTTATGAGCAAATAAATAAACTGTCCTTTAAAAAAGCCACAGGTGAGGATGAAATCCCTGCTAAATTAATAAAACTTGCAATTAATTCAATTACAGCTCCTATAACATACCTAATAAATATGTCATTAAAAACTGGAACTTTCCCTAACCTGTGGAAAAACGCAAGGATATGTCCAATTTTTAAAAATGGTGATCGCAAAGAATCGTGGAATTATCGTCCAGTGTCTATTTTGCCCATTTTATCTAAACTTCTTGAACGCACTGTTTTTGATCAGATATATCCTTTCATTGACCCTCTAATTTATGAACAGCAATCAGGATTCCGACCAAATTTCTCAACTACTTCCGCTCTGTTAAACATTACTGAAGATTGGATTGACGCGATTGATAAAGGTAATCTTATAGGATTAGTAATGTTAGATCTCAAAAAAGCTTTCGACACTGTTGACCATGATCGTTTAATGAATAAGCTACACAACTTTAATCTTCATCCACATGTAATAAAATGGTTTAAAAATTTTCTGCAAAACCGAACACACGTAACTAAAATAAACGGAGTGATTTCTGAACGCTGCCGTAGCACTTGCGGGATACCACAAGGTTCAATTCTTGGACCATTAATATTTATACTTTACATAAATGACCTCCCAAACTGTGTTTCTAATTGTAAAACAAGTATTTACGCAGATGATACAGTAATCCATTGTAC